CTGAGGCAGGAGAATCTCTTGAACTCAGGAAGTAGAGGTTGCAGTGAGCTGAGATCATGCCATTGCATTCTAGCCTGAGCAACAAGAGAGAAACTCCATCTCAAATAGAAAAGAAAAGAAAAGAAATGGCCATATTGGGTAGAACGAAAGGAACATGTAGAAGTTGCACAGAGGCAGGTTTCAGTTTATTACAGAAATGACTTTCAAAGAATCCAGTCTTTCCACAGCAAAGCAAGCAAACCAGGAGGTAATGGGATTCCCTGAGCATTGAAGGTGACCCAGTGTCCACATACTGTATTGGAAATTCAAGTATCTAATAGGGGACCTAATTGGCCATTTCTGAAGTCCCTTCCTGCACTTAGAGTTTATGACTTATAAGAGCTCTGATGTAAATATTTTAAAATTTCATTATAGATGCCATATTTGTATGATAAGTATTATAGAGAGCAGCATTCAGATAATAAATATATGACATGATGGATATGCTGATTAGCCTGATTTGATCTTTCCACAATGTGTATATGTATCAAAGCATCACATTATACAATTATTATTGTCAATTAAAAACAAAATATAACTCTTTGAAAAGATGATATGAGCATAATAGACTACAATAAAATACTCAGAAGTTATCATTGTGACACATATTTCAAAATATCTGTCTATAATAATATAGATAGTAGACTAGCCTTTAGATTTCTTCTTCTTGTAGACTTCTATATGCTGTGTTCTTGAATGATAGAATTTTTTCCATAGCACAGCCCAAATCTTAGATATGAAGTTGTTTTATACAAAGGCTTCTAAACAAGGGATTTGATTATGAATAATCTTAAATCTTTCACTGCACTGCAAAGTGAAAGTAGAAATGAAGAAAATGTATAAATAACGTTTTCAAGCTGTATTATCCATTCAACATATAATTATTGAGTGTCTAAAATTTGCACAACATTAGGCTTGTTTATATGGGATGACCGAAATGTAAACAAAGCAAAATGGCTGCCTTTGAATTTACAAATAATAATGATAATTATATTTTATTAGGTTTCCATTGCTATGGATTAGTCATTGTGATATCTTACATTACTATCGCTTTTAAACTTAAGGCAATTCTTTTATTTAAGTATAATTATTATTCCCATTTTTCAAACACAGAAATTGAAGCTCAGAGAAATTATGTATTACCTAACATCATGAAGCCAGGAGATGGAATTATTCAAACCACATCACTTCCCTATCACTGATTTCACATTGATACACTGCCCTTCCTCCACATGATACAGTATAATGTGCAATATGCTAAGTGGCATTAGAAACCATTCAAAGCATTATTGAAGTTCAGCTGAGGAAAAGAGACCAACTGAAATAGATACCACTTGTGAGCTGTTGGAAAAACAGCAGAGAGAGCCATTCCTGCTATAGGTGCTCTTAATATTTGTAGCTGCCTACTCATATTTTTTCCCATGCTTGTGACACTGACATGGGTTTGTATGAATGATTTTTACTGGAAATGGTGCTTCTGGGTAGAAATTTCTTTTCAAAGCTCATATTCAATAACAGGAAATATTAAAATTTGGCACGTGAAACAAGGTTACGTATTCTGTCTTTTTCACCTTCTTGAATATGAGTTGGTCTGGGAAAAGAAGTGGAATGGATGCCCTTTGCAAATTATGTGTGTTTATTGAAAGGTTTTTGTGGAAGATATATGGCTTCTTCCAGATTTCACATTAGCTTCTAAGAAATATGGAAAATAGATTGGCTTAATCATTCATATTTATGTCCAAATTCACAGGAAGGGTTCTTAAATTTCCAACAGCTTAGGATCACATATTTTCTCATACCTTCACCCAAGCCAGAAGGAAATATATGATGAAACACCTTGTTTCCTTCAATCCTTATACTTCTCCTGATCACATAAGGCTAAAGAAACCAAGAGTAGAAACGGCTTTATTTTCTGAGGCGTATCCCTGACACTGTCATACTTGGGTGCCTGTTAGTCATTTGCCCCATGGGTAATTTTTTTCTTTCTTCATTTCTCATCCTATCACTAGTTTTGAGAGTTACATTACAAAGAAACTATGACAGAACTATGGTCATGCAAGGAAGAGACAGGCAGGTAAATACCCCAGCTTCTCTCTGCTCAAAATCTTTTATTTCTTGCCCTGTCTCCATGGGCCAATCTCAACTGGCAGCAAGAATATCACTTATGCAATACTCCAGGAGACACTGAGCATAAATATTTGGTTGGTGCAAAAGTAATTGCAGTTTTTGCTATTGAAAGTAATGGCAAAATCTCAATTGCTTTTGCACCATTGTAATAAATATATGCATGAATAAATGGCTTCCCCTCCTTACCTTAATGATTTTTAGTCCCAAGAATTCCTTGACACTTTCTTGTGAATTTCCCGAAATAATTGAATTTTCATTCCACTCCTTCTGAAAATAGTTCCTGAATTCCACCTACTTCCTCAGCCATTTTTCTTCAGTAGTCTCTTAAATAGTTTGGCCCAACTCTTGGCAGGCAGAAATTGAGGTATAGATATTAATGTGGAGAAACTTGGTAAAAGTGGAGAAAAGAAAAAGAACTAGTCTTGATCCTTCCAGTTTTTAACTCCAGCCCTGATTACACTGGATTCATGGCTTGGAGTGTAACCCAATTTGTCTTCAGCCTGATTCTTCCTTCTATCCTTGTAACTCTCCACAGAGAAATACTGTTAGCTCAATGACCTGGGAAAATCACTCAGTGTTGATGGAATTTGTGTTCCTCGCCTATCCCTCCTGCCTAGAACTGCGTATTCTGTCCTTCCTTGGGGTCAGCCTGGTTTATGGATTGATCATCACTGGGAACATCCTCATTGTGTTGTCCATTCACACAGAAGCCCGTCTATGCACACCCATGTACTATTTCCTGGGCAGCCTTTCTGGGATTGAAATATGCTACACTGCAGTGGTGGTGCCCCATGTCCTGGCCAACACCCTACAGTCAGAGAAGATCATCACCCTTCTGGGCTGTGCCACCCAGATGGTTTTCTTCATTGCACTGGGCATTGCTGATTGCTTCCTCTTGGCTGCCATGGCCTATGACCGCTATGTGGCCATTTGCCACCCCTTGCAGTACCCTCTCCTCATGACATTGACTCTTTGTGTCCACTTGGTTGTGGCATCAGTCATCAGTGGTCTGTTCCTGTCCTTACAACTGGTGGCTTTCATCTTCTCTCTGCCATTCTGCCGAGCTCGGGGCATTGAGCACTTCTTTTGTGATGTGCCACCAGTTGTGCATCTTGTTTGTGCTCACAGTCATGTTCATGAGCAGTCAGTTCTGGTGGCAGCCACACTAGCCATTGCTGTGCCTTTCTTCCTCATCACCACCTCCTACACCTTCATAGTGGCTGCTGTGCTCAAGATCCACTCGGCTGCTGGCCGCCACCGGGCCTTCTCTACCTGCTCCTCTCATCTCACTGTGGTGCTGCTGCAGTATGGCTGCTGTGCCTTCATGTACCTGCGCCCCAGCTCCAGCTACCACCCCAAGCAAGATCAGTTCATCTCACTGGTGTACACATTGGGAACCCCACTACTCAACCCACTCATCTATGCCCTGAGGAACAATGAGATGAAAGTGGCCATAAGGAGAGTTCTTACCAGGAACTGCCTTTCCCAGAACAGCTAGGATAGACGAGCGGACAATCTATCAGGCAAGTGTTTGGTTCCAGCCCATCAAATCTCTATGAAAATGGGATTTCTATCATTTGATGTTAAAACTCACCTAAAAGATGGTATAAATTATATAGATACTGTTTATTTGTACCAACGATTTTTAAATGTTTCTATAATTTGACTCAGTAATTTCTCTTCTCAGAAAGAACTACATGAGCAAATGAGCATAAGGTGATCTAAAATGGCAAGTATAATACTTTGTCTGTTTACCAGCTGGGAAGAGATAGTTCACTCAATAGTTTTTAACTAAAAAACATTGTTAAAGGATTATCTGCAGTGGTTATGGGTAAGGAAACTAAGAAAGGGTGGCAGGGCACTAACATTCTAGCAATAACAGGAAGATTTCTCAGCCCTAGACCTAAAAGGCATGCAATAAAAGAAGGGTGCAATATTATCAGAGTCCAGTGACAGCTAGATCTAAGGAGATAAACCAGTTGGTAGAAACTGTGGCATCAGAAATAAAAGAAACTGTGACAGAACTATGGCCATGCAAGGAAGAGACAAGGAGACTAATACCCCAGCATCTCTCTGCTCAAAATCTTCCATTTCTTGTCCTGTCTCCATGGAAACTCAACTGGCAGCAAAAGAGGAGGATAGGCTGGGTGAATCAATCCACTGAAGTCAGTCTCCTAGGATACAGGGAAAGGCAGAAAAAAACCTTGAGAACTAGGGCCAAACAGAGAACAATCAGAGCAAAGGTTGTTTATTATAGTATCATACATAAAAACGAAAATAGTGGCTCACACCTGTAATCCCGGCACTTTGGAAGGCCAAGGCAGGCCAATCACAAGGTCAGGAGTTCAAGACCAGCCTGACCAACACGGTGAAACCTCATCTCTACTAAAAACACAAAAATTAGCCGGGCATGGTGGCATGCGCCTGTAATCCCAGCTACTCAGGAGACTGAGGCAGGAGAATAGCTTGAACCCGGAAGGCAGGTAAATAGCTTGAACCCAGGAGGTGGAGGTTGTGGTGAGTCGAGATCACACCACTGCACCCCAGCCTGGGTGACAGAGAGGCTGGGTGTGGTGGCTCACACCTGTAATTCCAGCACTTTGGAAGGCTGACGTGGGCAGATCACAAGGTCAGGAGTTTGAGACCAGCCTGGCCAACATGGTGAAACTCTAGCTCTACTAAAAATGCAAAAATTAGTCAGGTGTGGTGGTGCACACCTGTAATCCCAGCTACTTGGGAGGCTGAGGCAGGAGAATCACTTCAACCCAGGAGGCGCAGGTTGCAGTGAGCCAAGATCGTGCCATTGCACTCCATCCTGGGCAACAGAGCGAGACTTCCTCTGTCTCAAAAAATTAAAAAAGAAAAGAAATTAATCCACTTTCCCCATAATAAGGTATTGGTTAAGCAATTACTGTGTAAAGGAATATTATTCAGCCTCAAATTTATGTTTTCAAATGCTAGTTATTAGTAATAGATTACATTAAGCGCTTCCTGTGTGCCAGGAATATACTCTCAATCTTCAAAAAGCTTATTAAGACTATTATCTCTGTTTTTTTTATATAAATGGGAGAGTTCTCAGTAAACAGATCCAGACAGTGAAGCCAATACAGTAGTTTCCACTTACCTACAGGTTTACTTTCCACAGTTGCAGTTACCCACTGTCAATGCAGTATAAAAATACTAAGTGGAAAATTCCAGAAATGAACAATTCGTAAGTTTTAAATTGTGTCCTGTTCTGAAATAGTAATGAAATCCCAAGCCATCCTGTTCTATTCCACCTGGGAAGTGAATCATACTTTGTCCAGCATATCCCCACTGTATACACTACCCATCTGTTACTATGTATAGAGTTCAGTACTATCCACAGCTTCAGGTATCCACTGCGGGGGTCATGGACTATATACCCCTTGAACAAAGTAAGGGAAGACTATTGTATCTGTAGATAACTATGGATCAGGAAACCAGTCCCAGGGAGCATAATTGGACTGTAATAAAGGAAGATTCTCTGCGGCCAGAGTGAAGGATACCAACAATGTGCCAAATTGGATTCAAAATTGCTATGGAATAGTGACTGCAATGTGCCTCCTATTTCTGACCCTTTTGAATGGAGGTGTCTATTATTATCTAAATAGGGAACTGATGCTAATTATAAGATCCTCAATTTTATACCTGGATTATAAATTTTATCTTTAAGATTTGTTTTATGGTACAACCTATGTTTCCTTCTGATGTCCCATTGATAAGAATGTGTATCCTATAGATGTTGAGTGAAGTCGAGTAAGTTAAGTTAGCTAATAGTGTGGTTGTAATCTTCAATATATATACATATTTTTATCTACTTATCTGAGCAATTACTGAAGGAGGTAGGTTTAAATCCACAACTGTGATTGTGGATTTGTTCATCTCTCCCGTTAGCTCTAAAAGTTTTTGTTTTCTGTATTTTAAATCTATTATTATATGTAAATATCTTAAGATTTGTTATATCTTGCTGATAAATTAACCATTTTTATCATTAAGCAATGCTCTTTTTAATTGCCGGTAATCTCTCTGATCCAGAATTCTACTTTGTCTTATCTTTATAGCTGCATTGTCTCATATATATTTAGCATTTGTATGATACTTATTGCTCTTCCCTTTTATTTCTACCTTTTTTCTCATATGTAAGGTGTACCTCTTATAAATAGCATATAATTCACTTTTTAACCCGCTCTTATTGCAGTGTATGTATACCATCTTCCCATAAGTTTTTTTATTTATTCCTTCTTTTCTTTGTTTTTTGGTTTCTCCTTTCCAGCCTCTTGTTGAATTTAGAGATAATTTTTTTCTTCTGTATTAACTTTTTAGCTATATCTTTGAATTTTATTTTGTGGCTGCCTTCTTATCACAACCTACCATGAACTATTATGATACCACCTCAGCAAATATGCAGGAGACTTTTTAAAGCATAATTACATTTACTGCCCTCCAATATTTGTGCTCTTGATATGATCTTTCACTTACAAATTTATAAATTTCATCATAGATTGTTGTTTTTGTTTTAAATAGTTAATTGTTTTCAATGAAATTTTAAAATAGCCTTTTACATTTTAACCTTAAACTTATGAATATTATAATTATCTTTTTTCTTTAACAATTTTAAAGGTATAATTTAATTGTCTTCTGGTTCCCATTATTTCTAATGAGAAATCATTTATCTTCTCCATTTGTTTTCCCACATTCAACATTCCTCCATGATAAAAGAAAAAAAAGAAAAAAAAACTTTAAACAGGTATAGAAGGATAAGACTCTATATTAAAAACTCACAGTTAACATAATACTAAATGGGAAGAAGTTGAAAGCCTTCCTCTAAGAACTGGAACAAGGATGCCCACTTCTACCACTCTTATTTAAAAAAGTATTGGAAGTTCTAGACAAAGCAGTAAGGCAAGAAAAAGAAACAAAGGACATCCAAATTGAAAAGGATGAAATCAAATTGTCCATCTTTGCAAATGACATAATCATTTTTAAAAATTTTATTTATTATACTTTAAGTTCTGGGGTACATGTATAGATCATGCAGGTTTGTTACATAGTTATACAAATGCCATGGTGGTGCTTTGCTACATCCGTCACCCCGTTATCTACATTAGGTATTTCTCCTAATGCTATCCCTCCTCAATCCCCCCACACCCTGCTATTCTTCTCCTAGCTCCTTACTTCCCAGGCCCCAACACCATGGAATACTATGCAGCCATAAAAAAGGATGAGTTCATGTCCTTTGCACAGACATGGACGAAACTGGAGACACAATCTTATATATTAAAAAAACTAAAGACTTCATCAAAATCATCTTAGAACTAATGAACAAATTTTAGTAAAAACTTAAGATGCAAAATATACATACAAAAACCACTAAAAAAGTAGCTAGAAAAAAGCAAGAAAGCAATCACATTTATAATACTACCCCCCCAAAATACTAAGAATATATTTAACAAAGGAAGTAAAAGACCTCTACAATAAAAAGCACAAAACAGTGATGAAAGAAATTGAAGAGGACACAAAAAAATGGAAAGACATTCCATGTTTATGAATTGGAAAAATTAATATTGTTAAAGTGACAATATTACCTAAAGCAATCTACAGATTGGGTACAGTTTCTATCAAAATACCCATGGCGTTCTTCACAGAAATAGAAAAAAAAATATCAAATTCATGGGTAACCACAAAAAGTCTAAATAGCAAAAGAACTACTAAGCAAAACTCACAAAGCTGGAGGCATCACACTACCTAACTTTAAAATATACTACAAAGCTATAGTAACAAAAAACACTATCATACTAGCATATAAAAGCAGATATATGGATTAAGGAGCAGAATAGAGAACTCAGAAATAAATCCACATATTTACAGCAAACTGATATTTTATAAGGTTGCCAAGAACACACATTGGAGAAAGGACAGTCTCTTTAATAAATGGTGCTGAGAAAGCTGGATATCTGTATGCAGAAAAAATGAAACTATATTCATCTCTTACAATATGCAAAAGTCAATTTAAAAGAGATGAATGACAAAAATTTAAGACTTGAAACTATAAAAATGCTGTAAGAAAACAGGAGAAACACTTCAGGACATTGGTCTAGGCAAAGATTTTATGTATAAGATTGCAAAATCATAGACAATAAAAACTAGGATAAGCAAATTAGACTATAAGTTTGGTATAGTCTAAAAAGCTTCTGCACAGGAAAGAAAACAATCAATGAAATGAAGACAATCTGTAGAATGGGAAAATATATTCGTACACTATTCACCCAGAAAGGGACTAACAGCCATAATACACAAGAAGTTTAAACAACTAAACAGCAGAAAGAAAAATCAAAACAAAGATTCTAATTTTAAAATGGGAAAAGAATCTGAAAAGACATTTTTCAAAAGAAAATATAAAAATGGCCAATAGGTATATTAAAAAATGCTCATCATTGTTATTCATCATATAAATGCAAATCAAAGTCACAGTAAGATACCATCTCACCGCAGTTAGAATGGCTATCATAAAAACAAAAAATAACAAATGCTAGCAAGCATGCAGAAAAAAGAAAATTCTTATACACTGTTGGTAAAAATGTAAATTAGTACAGCTATTACTTAAAAGAGCATGGAAGTTTCTCTGAAAACTAAAAGTAGAACTACCATATGATTCAGAAATCCACTGCTGGTCACTATCCAAAGGAGAAATCAGTATATCCAAGAGATACCTGCACTGCCATGTTTAAGTCAGATCTATTCACAGTAGAGATAGTATGGAATCAAGATGTATATCCACCTACAGATGAATGGATGAAGAAAACGTGGGATATATAAACAATAGAATAGCATTTAGTCATAAAAAATAATGAAATTTTGTCATCTGCAGCAACATGGATGAACCTGGAGGACATTACATTAATTGAAATGTCAGACACAAAAAAGTAAATACTGCGTTTTCTCACTCATATGTAGAAACTAAAACAAAATTGAGCTCATAGAAGTAGAAAGTAGTATGGTTATTTCAGGTTGGGAAGGGAAGATGAGTAGGGAAAATGGGAAAGCTTTGTGAATGAATACAAAATTGCAGCTAGAGTGGTGAAATAAATTTTACTGTTCTGTAGCACTATGGGGTATATATGGTTAAAATTAATTTAGCATATATCTTTTAAAAGCTAGAAGAGAGAATGTTGAATGTTCACAAAACAATAAAATGAATATTCAAGGTGATAGATATGCTAATTACCCTGATTTGATCAATACACATTGTATATGTGTATTAAAATATCACTTGATATTCCATAAATGTGTACAATTACTACATGTCAACTAAAAATAAAGGTAAAAAAAGAAATATCATGTGATCCAACAATCTCACTATTTGGTATTTATCCAAAAGAAAGCAAATCAGTATAACAAAGAGGCATCTGTATCCCTACATTCATCTCAGCACTATTCACAATACCCAAGGTATAGAATCCACCTAAGTGTCCATGGTAAAAATACGTGATGGGATAATATTCAGTCATAAAAATATTAAAATCCTGTCACTTGTGGCAATGTGGATGATCTTGAAAGACATTATGTTAAGTAAAATGTTAGGCACAGAAAGATAAATCTTGCATGTTCTTATTCATATGTAAAAGCTAAATAACTTTACCTCATCAAAATAGTGAGTAGAATTGTGGTTATTAGAGGCTGGTAAGGGTAGGGTGAAGGGAGGATAGGAAGAGGATGATTAATGAATGAAGTACAGCTAGATCAGAGAATAAGTTCTGGCAGTCTATAGCATTATAGAGTGACTACAGCTAACAAAGCATTACTTCATATTTCTAAA